AGGCTGCGCCTTTACTTTTACCTGGTTTTATAATAAAATACCTCTGTCTGCTTTACAAGGAACAAAAAACGCACATATCTTTGTTTAAAAAGTAAATTCTCATATGTATTTTCATTGGAATCGCCATCTTGTTAGCCGGTTTAGCGACCTCTTCTGGTTACAAAAATTAAATAGGAATCAGACCAGACTCTCGCTCGGGCAAAGTCTCGAGAGCGAGAGTCTGGGGAAAACGAGACTACACAGTAGCCTCGCTTTCGGCTCTATACAATCAACACAAATTACTGCGCATGTTAAATACGTGATGACCATGGGAGATTGAACATAGTTCAACTCCCAAAAATGATGCCTTACCCATAAAAATCAGTAAAACACACTGGAACTGAAAAATAAAGACAACATATTGGTTATACTAATATTGATGGTGTTATTATTTGATTTAGATGTTCTGAAATACCAGTTCAATTTGTTTATTAGGAAATATGATTATATGTTAGAAAATTTTCTTCAAGATCATGGTCAATGTCAATGATATCTGTCATTTGGAAATTATATTTTTTATTTACATCTATATCTTGTTTTATGTCAAATTTATGAAAACTACGCATTAACATTTAATTTTTATTTATTTATTGTCAAATTGATACTTATAAAAACATATCCATCTGCATCTCTAAATTAATTTAATACCTTCATAAATATAATTGTCTATTGAAAATCCAAGGAAAAAAAATAGAAAGAAAAACTAAACTCCTCACATTTATACATTGCACTTGATGTATGAACTTCATCCGGACATCCACGGATAGCCCGACATGGTACGTAATCAAAGTTATATGTATACTTGTCTAGAACACCGCAATATCCTGTAATAAAGACAGATTTTTGTCTCCCGCTTTCGCGAAAGCGAGGGGACATTAAATCTCCTTCGTCTGTCCTTCTAGCTGTCCGTCAATCTGTCTGTCCGTCACAAAAACTTTAACCTTTAACTTTTGATTTAGTTGAGCTATGACTTTCATATTTCATATGTATATTCCTTGTGACAAAAACTTTCTTTGGGTACCACCAAATTTGACCTTTTGAACTTGACCTTGGAGTTTGACCACTTTTACATCAAAAATCCAAACTTTTACTTTGGCCATAACTTTTGAATGGTAGCTACTTGGATTTTCATATTTCATATTTGTATTTTTTGTAGAAAGGCCTTTTATTAGAGGCCATCAACTTTGACCTTTTGCCCTTGACATTGGAGATTTCCGTACTTATGAAAATTTTTTAACCTTGACCATAACTTTTGAATGGTAAGGTCTATGGCTTTCATTCTTCAAATATATATTTCTTATGAAATTAATCTTATTGAATACCAAGAAATTTGCCCCTTGTACCTTGACCTTGGAGTTTGGCGTACTTTTCAAAAACTTCGACCTTGGTCACAATTTTTGAACAGTAGATACCAGGACTTTCATATTAAAAAAATGTATTCTTTGTGGCAAGACCTTTCATTTGATAACAACAACCTTGACCTTCGAGATTTTTTGTAATTATGAAAAACTTTAACCTTGACCATAACTTTTGAATGGTAAGGGCTAGGGCTTTCATACTTTACATATGTTTTCCTTTTGAGAAGACGTTTCATTGGATACCAAGAACGGTAACCCTTTGACCTTGACCTTGGAGTTCAGTGATAATGTCTAAATAGATGACCACTTATGATAGGGCGTTCATATTAGACACAAAATGTCATTTAAAAAAATGACATCTCATCCAAAAAGACACCGAAAGCGGGGGACCACGATTCTTTGAATTTGCTTGTATTAGTTTTTTTCCCTGTAGGTTTAGTTTAAACCTTACATACTGTGGAATCATTATATATCGTGGACGACTGGTGGCTCAACATCCATGGAATTTGTGGGGATCCATTACCCATGAATTTACATCTTCCACGAATTAATATTAATACTCGGGGTTCAAAGTTTTACCGCGGTATTTTATTGGGAATAGGTAGAATGAACCCCTTTTTCTATCTAATTTTCAAAAAGTGGGAATAAGTAGAATGAACTATTTTGGTACATATGATTAAATGCGCCAAATAATGTCTTCAAGAACCAGTAAAATTTAATTTCAGCAATTCTCAAAAATTGATGCCCACGAATGTTGATGCCTCCACATTATTACACTGTATAAATGGAGACAGGTCAGAATTGAGTGTGATGAATAAAAGGAATTTTGTTGTGTAATGCGAGATGTTATCCATTACAATGAAAATCTTATTTAAATAATAATTATTTTGACGATTTTTTTATTCAGTACTGGAGTATGTACATTTTCCACTTAAAATTACCTGATGAAATTGAACCCCTCTTAGTGCATATTTCACCAAAGCGGCCAGGGTGTTTATATATAGAAGCACAAACATAGTCAGGCGGATCTTGACAATTTTTGGCTTTAGCCCTGTTGATCCAGTCTGTTTTGTTCATAGGACATCCATCAACGGCAACAAAGGAAATATTTTCTGATTGAATGTTTCTTGTCAGAAGAATGAAAACAAAGCAGAAAAATCTTACGTATGTCATGATGGAGCTAGTTATTTTTTAAGCAAAAGTTTTATAGCTAAACAGTGTTCAATGATTGTTGAATCGACAAAATAAATAGACTGATTGCTTCTCTTCTACTTGTATTTCATAGAAAGATTCAATACATTTCACTAAAAGGATACAAAGTAATGGTATTAGGTTGGCAGCCAAAATGTACTGTAGGTAGCTTTTTTCAAATTTCACCGATCGAGATTATCCTCTTCCTGTTGATTGTGTTTGTCTCATGCAGCATGGAATGCTACCTTCCTCGTCCAGAGGGTCCACTAAAAGGGTTTTAATTATACAGTGCTAACTAATTCTTTTCTAGTTGTCTATTTAGAAAATAATCTACTAGTATCTTGCCTTCAGTATTTTATCTTACATAATCGTTGTAATAATTTATTTTCTGATATTGTACCTTTACGTTTTTTTTTATTCCTGTTACCCCAGGAATTTTTTGTGGGTTCGTGGCTGCAACCCCCCACCCCAAATATTTCTTCATAGGACCTTCTTAGCTCTAATCATGCCTTAAAAAAAGGATTCCATTCCTTGAGGAATTTATCCAAAAGCTATAAGTATTAATTTAAAAAAAAGAAAATGAATGTGTCTTTATTTTTTTTTTGGGGGGGGGGGGGCATTTTTATGTACGGAAACCCATTTAGGACATATCAAAAAATATTTTTGAATTCGTTATAACGATTTTTAAAATTCGTTATAACAAATTAAATTTTTTATAACAGATTAATTGAATTCATTATTTAAGGAATGAAGCTTATTTCAACTTATGTTATCCGATATAACATAACTTGGGGCAGTTTACGCTTTATAAACCGCGAAGCGGTTTATAAATAAGCGTAAACTGGCACAAGTTTTGTTATATCGGATAACATAAGTTGAAATAAGCTTCATTACTTATAATTTAATTTCAATGTAGACAATGAGACAATATTTTCTCTAGAAAAAAGCTTCAAAGTGAGCATTATTTTAAAAGTAACGTCAAGCGGAGTGATACGTTTTTGACGTAACTCATTGTGACGTAGGCAAGTTATGTTATACAAAATGGATAAAACCGTTAAACCAATCAAATGACGCGTTACAACTGAAATTAAATTATAACGAACTTAATTTGTTATAACAAATTCATTGAATCGTTATAACGAATTTTATTTGTTATTACAGATTTATTGAATTCGTTATAACGAATTTAATCTGTTATTGCAGATTTGTTGAATTCGTTTTAACGAATTTAATCTGTTATTACAGATTTGTTGAATTCGTTATAACAAATTTAATCTGTTATTACAGATTTGTTGAATTCGTTATAACGAATTTAATCTGTTATTACAGATTTGTTGAATTCGTTATAACCAAATTCTTGAATTGATTATAGCAAATTCAACAAATCTGTCATAACAGATTAAATTCGTTATAACGAATTCAATGAATCTGTTATAACAAATTAAATTCGTTTTAACGAATTCAATGAATCTGTTATAACAAATTAAATTTGTTATAACGAATTCAATAAATCTGTTATGACAAATCAGGCGCGTAGCATCGTTTTTGGAAGTGGGGGGGCCAACCTGAGCAAAAATTTTTTTTACTTACCTGAAAAAGTTGACAAGCAAAAAAAAAAAAAAAAAAAAAAAATTAAAAGTTGCCCGAAGTCGAAAATCCTGTTTCGGGGGGGGGGGGGAGTGGCTAACTTTTTTCAAGACCAACTTTCTTTCCATTCAAACTTTTGGGGTAAATTTTCTTTATAACACTACCCTTTGCTGAAATGTGGGGGGGCCAACCTTCCCTTCAGAAAACATTTTCTATAGTAAAGGTAATGTCGGGAGAAAAAGTGGGGGGGCCTGGCCCCCCCTGGCCCCCCCTGATACTACGCCCCTGCAAATTAAATTCGTTAAAACCAATTCTAAAAATCTGTTATAACAAATTAAATTCGTTATAACGAATTCTAAAAATCGTTATAACGAATTCAAAAATATTTTTGATAGGTCCTAAATGGGCTTCCGTATTTATGTCGTATCTGGTATTGAGTGAAAACTTTACTTTCACTTCTCACCTGCTGTAGACCAATCTTCATGATGGTTACAGGCTGCTATATCATAGTATACAAACACGCATATGGTTTAAGGAAAACCGTGATTTTAATTAAGGATGAAGATGTAGAATTTTACTTCTTACGTGCGTATTTCATGTTGTCCATTTTACTGAGCTGCGAGCAATGTCAAACAATAACAATAGCGAACATGAGGTATAGACTTTGAATACACACCAGTATCTGTGTACATCTTCAGAATTAATGTTTTTTGAAACGTTATGTAGCTCTTATTTAGTAATTTTTAAAATTATGTTCTTTTCGTTTGCTCCTACATGATACAGACGTTTTATACGCATAACATCAAAGAAATATTGGTACCAATGTTTACTATTGGTAACTTTTATTGGTAACCAATTCTGCAGGCCAACCACATCTCTGGCAGATTGGTAAACCAGATTTTTTCGTTTATTAGTGTCACCCCCAAGATGGCTACCTGGACCGTTCCTGCTAGCATGAGTGAAGTTTCCTCACTAGTAATAACACTTCAGATGAATTCTACTACAAAATAAGGGAAAATATTGTTATCTCTATACATAGTATTCCAAATTTCAAACAAATGATCACTTGTTTTGGAAAAAGAATATCACCTGAAGACAGGTATTCATATAAAGAATTATGTCCATAAAAGTTATTTTATTTTGTTTTAGAAATACAATAAAAAACTTCGTTTTGATTTTTTTTTCTGGAAAATGGTGAATAACTCAACATTTGCCGTTGGTAACCATTGATTACCATTGGTTACCATTAGTAACCAAGTGTTACCATTATTCACTGTTGACAACCATTGGTACAACCATTGGTACATTGGTACACCCAAGGGTGCGTTCAGAGTATTTCCAATGGTACCACCACCTCTTTGCCAATGGTAACAATTTCTACCGTTGGTACCATCGGACCCATATGTACTCTGAACGAGTTTTGGGTAGAGTTGGTAGGAAACTCACCAATGTTAACTATGGCACCATTGGTGTACCATTAGTGACATTGGTGTATACCATTGTTAACATTGACAGATTTCTTAGAAGAAAAACCAAGAGTATTATTCTTGCTTCATGCATCATTTTACAGCAAAAAAAAATGCTTTCAAAAATACTTTTTAGTCCACTAAAGTACTTCTCCACAACAGAATTTTCTCCAACTTGTCCTCCGGATTGTCAAATGTAAAATAATTAAATTAATAAAATTTTGATTTTACATTAAATACACTTAGAAGTTATTAAAATGAATATTCTGAAACTTTCAGTCAAGAAAAACCACATTTAAAAAAGACGTTTCGCGCCTATATACACATCTCTAGTTTATGTATTTAGGTGAATAGGTGTGGTAAAAACATTACAATAATTTGTTACTTTTTCAACTTTTTCCCCGAGGGAAAACTTTCATAGAATAATCTTGTTAATATTAATTTTATAGATAGAAAACGATTTATAGAGTAAAAATGAACTAAATTAAGCATAAAATTTATTAGAATTTACCAAATACCGCCCAGTAAACCTAAAGATCTCTCGGGTTCTCTGTTTAGTAGGACCGACTTGATCAGTACCCGCCATTTTGTTTGACGTCATTAAAAAAGTTACCATCGCTAACAGAGTTCTAGTTCGTCTGCAGAAAAATCCACCTATGGTAAATTTTTTCGGCAAACTTTGGTACCATTGGCATACCAATGGTAAGAAATTCTACCAGCGGCAACTTTTGTTAGCCAACGGCAGTACTCTGAACGCACCCAAAGGTTGTTTTGTCATTGGTTTACCAATATGCTGTTCACAGTTTAAAGGCAACCAATTGCACCATTGTTCAACACTGGTGCCAAAGACAAGCCAATGGCAAATCGATATTTGTACCAATAGACGAATTGTGAACGCACCTCTAATGTGGGATTTAACTAATTACAGTAAACTGTTACCCAAAATAAAACAAAATTAAATAGTGGACCTATACACCTACTAAAGTGTAAGTGAACAACTAAAAATTCGTAGTATAATACTTTTTTATGAAAATGTGTAATTTTCTAACAAAGTATATCACCATATAATTTACAATGGGCAAAATGGTTGAAGCTGAGGAAATTCGGATTTTCGTGAAATGTTTAAGGTATGACTATGAGCACACATCTGCCCCACAATTTTTTTTTTCTAAAATAGAAACCCCTTGATGTTGGTTTTAAACTGAATCCTAAATAAAGAAAAGGGTTCACCTTTGCCTTTTTCGGCCCTGTGAATTTCTGAAAAATTGTTGGTAACTGCGTATCTATAAAAAAGACGTACAATTTTGTGGCTAGTCAATGCATTATGACGTCAATTTCATCATTACCTGAAAAAGTTACTAAAACAGCCAATTTATGAAGCTATTTTTCGATATTTGATATAGAGCGCAACCTCTGATCTAAAATATGCAACTAGTACTAGTATATGGTAAAACTGTTTCTGGGGATTACATAAGACATGTTTTATTTTTTAGATCAGAGAGTGCGCTCACATTATTTTTCTTCACCGAAAGTACTCAATTATACCTGTATATCTAAAAATCCAAGAACATTGCAATTTCATAAAGCCAGTTCTCCTAGACCTGGACTTTTAGGAGAAATTTTTAATAGAATATGAAAACACAAAGTCTGTATTTTATTTTAATGCTTCAAATGGAAAATCTAGTTATGATCAATCAATTGGTATATCTACAGGGCCATTTTATGCATAAAGTGAACCGACTTCTTTGGGGCAGGCCTGTGCTCTATATAAAATTTGACCATTACATCCCAAAAATGTGATAAATCAAGCAAATTCCTGTATCTCTATGAGTTTGGGGCTGTAGATCTCAGGTATACAAGTACAGAACTCCAAGATTGTTTTCCTATTTGATAAACTACAATACCTAGACTATCTTTTAAGGAGGAACAGGACCTTTAGCTTTAAAAAATTCCTGTCAATGAATTTTTTTCGTATTTTTTATATTACTAATTTAATATGTACTTAACATTTTAAAATGGTCCTGTCATGGGATTTCTTGACTTATTTAAAAGATATCGCCCCACAAATACCGCCCTGTGTAGAGTTTGTATGGAGTTTAGATACTTCATGTTTACGGGCCCATGACGGAGTCCGTCATGCGAATTTTTACGCACAAACGATAAATATTATAGATAACATTATAAACTCAAATATTTCAGAATATTCATAGTGTTTAAATTATCTGAAAGCAATTGTTTTAATTTTATATAGTATTTGGGTGGGATAATTTCTGCATTTTTCAAGGCAGCTTCAACGACAAAAACCTCATTGGGAAAAAATTCTGTCAATAAATATTTTTAAATGTACGATTGAATGTCAGTCCTTCGTCGTAATTATTTACTGCATAAATATCACAGGGTGAAGCTTACCTAAATTTCGCATAGGACATCGTTGAATTAGACGTAAGCATGATAAAAACACTTCATGTTCGTATTTTCCGAGTGCGGGAAATCAATTGTGACGTCACACGAAAACGTAAACATTCAAAATTATCTAAATAGAGAGAATCTCTGCTACTAAACACGAAAAAATATTAATTTTAAAAAATCTTCTCCAAAAATTTATCACGATACATTGACTGTGACCTGTTTATTATGAAATTAAATTGAATCATGACGGGTGTGTGTACTTGATCTCGCTGCACTGAAAATTCAAACGCTACGTCTATGACCTCACTGACGTCAAACTGCAGGGTAAAGAGAAACAAATGTGTGGATTGGGCAACTTCACAATATCTAAATGATGGCAAGATCTTTAAAAATTTTATGAATAATAATTTCTAAAATTAAACATGTTAAATGTTAACAACAATTTTAGAATTTAGAATAAAATTCCACAAGAACTGTTGATTTTAACAACGTTTAACACGTATATCATCACCGATTATGACGTAATATGTCTTTTTAGTCATGTGACATGTGCCCTGTCTCCCCTTAAGCAAAAATATTTGGCCAAAACTTCAGTTTTATTTTGACCATTTTACAGGGCATATTTTGACCCTTCGTGGGCTTAGCTCTTTTAACAGAATTTTCAATTTTAGTTACCATTATAACATCATTCATCAAGATAAAAATAATGAAGACATTATGTATCTAGCTGTATTCTACTTGCTTGCCACTTTATATTATAATCAGACTAAAATTATATTTGAAGTAACATTTTAAAGTATTTTACACAAGTTTCTTTTTTTAGTTACCAAGGCTACATCGTTCAGGGAAATCAAAAACCGATTAAAAGAATTATGAACCTCGGTGTAGTCTACTTGTGTGCCAAGTTATATTGAAATCAGACCAAAACTGTAGGAAGAGTAGAATTTTGAAAAATTGTTTACAGATAGACGGACAAACGAGCAGCTTTACAGACGGACAGACACATTACTATTCCATAAGCTCTTCTAGTCTCTGCCCAGTACTACTAAAAAGGTTATCAGAACGGAAAAAGCTGGTCATCTCGTTTGATATACAATTAAACTATTTAGTATTCTCTTATCGTCTACGTAGTAAGTAAGCAGGCAAATGTGTACTTCAACTAGAAAAACGCGGGAGAAAAAAAGTTGCGACTGCATAACCGCGAAAGAGAGATATTTTATTCACATGTAGTGTCTTTGCCATCAAATTTTTGTATCTGCATTTTTGCCAACGAAATTTCCCTAAAGGCGTGGCCCTTGGGAAAACCATATGAGGGAGTTCGTAAATATCAGAATATACTAAAAATTGAGTGGTTATGATTCTTTAAAATAAAAACATGGAAAAGCCTGGTTAGTGCACTTAATATTTTTGAGGACATTTACAAATTTTGTTGAAAACTAGTTTTGCTGAGTACCTACCCAAGTCAACTTTCGTTTTGATCTTCCTAAAACAACTTTTAGCGCATGCTGCAAATACTCAGATATATTGCCGTTAAAAATCTCAATAAAGTAAGAAACGTCTAGTAACCTGTCTTACAGTATTTGCCAGTGTTTGACTTTCTCGTCTATAATTACTTGCTAACTAATAGCATAAATGAAGTCACGATGAGCCATAATATCTGTGCAAAGTTGTCGTTTGTTCCTTTCTAAGGAAGCCCTAAAAAGGTCATATTCATAGGCTATCTTATACAAAAGCACATCAGAAGTGATTTTAAGCTGGAAAGAAATTTTGATTGGCTAAAGGTCTCTTTTTAAAATTACATCGAAAAAGAATCATATCATTTTTACCAAAATAATCTAATAAGACAAAGTTTTTTATTTACTTTAATATTTTAAAAACACTAGAATTCAAATTTTAAACTAGCTCATTTTTTTCGCCTTGCTTTCTGTCTGGTATTAGCACATAACATGAAACAAATGGAGATATCGAACAATATTCACGATCAAAATTCTAGAGCAAACACGGACCTCCAAAACAAAGAGGTGGGATCAGGTGCCATGGAATAGTGAGCATCCCCTGCCGACCGGTCACACCCGCCGTGTGTTCCTTGTCATGATCGGG